AACAGGAGCCCGCCAGCCACTTATCGGAAGGAAGATGGGGCAATCTACTTCCATAGTGATACTGCCTTGGAAACCTAAGGAGGGGTCGCTATGAGTCGGGTTCGACTCGACGACACATAAAAACAACAACAACCAACTGGAGCAAAGAAGAGTGAAGAAAGTCAAAGATGCAGGAAACAATTAGTTCAAAAGACTAATGGAGCACATGAACCCCAGTCTCCATGACCCTGACACCAGAAAAATTAGATGGTACCTGGCTACCTCTGTTGATCTTTCTGAAAGGGTTCAGAATAAGAGATCCCACACAGAGTGGGGGAAAATGTGGAACAAAACTCAATTATAAAAAAGATCAAGTTTATTGGTCTGATAAAGACTAGTATAGATGCTATGGCCCTTAGATACCTTTCAAGCTAGGAACTGAACTTAACTCCCATGACTCAACTGTTAGCCAAAGGATAAACAGGCCTATAAGGTGAACAGTAATATCAGGAGGGCATGCACTCAGAACAATCAAGCATATGAGGTCGAGAGGACACCATTTGCGCAAGGATGGAGCTAGGAAAGTTTGCGGGGATGGAGCTAGGAATGTGGGAGGAGATGGAGCTAGAAGGTGGGAGGGGATGGGAAGGAAACCAAAGGGAATGGGAAGGCATAAGGTAGAAGTAGAAAGAAGGCTATTACAGCGTATGGACTGCAGTAAATGTCACAAAATAGAATGTGCATGGATTGCTGAATGGAAAACCAATTTGCTCTGTAAACTTTAACCCAAATGACAATTTAAAAAAAAATCTTCCAGCAGCCTCAGAAAAATGATAGTGTTCTGCTCATTACAGGAAACAGCAATTATACACAGACACACATGATATAAACTGAATTAAGGATCATAAAAGTCAAAGAGTCTAAAATTCAGTGTTCTTGACAGAAATGTTAACTGGCTCTAATTATACAAATAAAAATATGTACCGTTCATTGTGCTCTTGATAAACGAGTCTGGACTTCTCCAATAGATATTTTTCAACATAGGCACTAGAAAGAAAATAAATAAAATTGGTTGATATAAATAAGAGGCTTAATATAAGGTACATGCATTCAGAAGATTAAAAAGCACAAAGTAAACAATCCAGATCATTTCAGTACATTTACCAGTGTAATTGTGTTATACATGCTACTAGTGCTTCCATACTAAAGTCATAAAGCTTTAAGTCATTGTAAAATGAAGTGCAAATGTACCTTCCTCTGCAAATTCATAGCCATTACCACCACCATCACTACTAAAACGGGGAAAAGAAACAAACATGAACCATTACATTAAATTCTCACACCCACACTGCATGGTAAACAAGTACTGTCCCTATTTTACAACTGTAGAAACTGATGCTCAAAATTATTAAGACGATGCGGCTAGTAAACAGTAGAATTATGATTTAAACCCAGATCTACACTAACTAAGACTATTTCTTTCAATTATACCAACCTACTACTTTCCAGCCATTTCTCTTTTCTACCCTCCAATCTATGAATCATACTACTTTCAACTTGCTCCCCATACTGACAACTTGGCTTCCCATGCAAAGGAGTGAATTAACATCATGTTTGTTAGGAATTATTTTTAAAATATACCAGCAAAGAAAAGGGAAAAAGGAATAGATGAAGCAAATATGGCAAAATTTGGTAGCTGTTGAATCTGCATGGGAGTTCTCTATACTATACTACTGTGTATATTTGACATTTTCTCATAATGATAATTTTCAATCTGCTCCCCAGTATAAAAAGAATTACAAATATTAGAGCTTTATATACACTCTCACCCCAACTGATAACTACACCCTCACCCCAACTGATAACTACTCCCATACTCTGTAGCCACTTAAATTATCTCCTCAAGTACACCAAGTTCTTAACATATTTCCACTTATTTGCTAATATCAATTTCTCTGCCAATAATGTAATTTTCCACCTTTTCTGCTTGGCAAATTTTCAAGACTCAACATAAAAATTACCTTCTTTTGTGAAATCTTCCAGATATATACTTCAACCACTGTACTTATCTCACTTACTATAATTATATTATATAAATACTTGTCTTTCCAGAAAGACTATGAGAACTTTAATGATAGAGAATGTATCTACTTTTTTTACATCCTCGACAGCACAATATCTGGCACTCAAAATGAATTCTATAAATATGTGCTTAATAAATCATAAAATAAAAACATTAAAATATTCAACTAATATTTGTTGACTTACTATCAAGATGAAGATACTTCCTTTTGCTCACTGTTCATGTGAAAGAAAGTTTAGCTTTTTTTAGGTGGTCACTGAACACATGAGACCCTAAATTTCATTCATGAATGGGAAAACATCTGATATACCTCACAAAATTGTCTTGAAAAATCAATGAATATCTATAATGTTACTTCGAAAATTATAAAGTAGTAGACACAACTTTACTAATTACGAACCTCTCCTACAGCACAGTAATGAGTAAGACAAGCCTAACAACTTGACTGACTCCCACTTTTATGAGTATAGGTAACAAATGTTATCTTTGCAAACTGTTGATTCTTCAGAATTCATTTCTTTAGAATCAAGAAATAAGTAAGTTATGAAACTTTTCAATGAAGCAGGATTTATCCCTTTTTTCTTCTTTTTATTTTCCCAGAAGCAGGTAAGTATACATAGTTTTGGTCAAAATTTAAATGCATAAGTAAAAAGAAAAGTACATATCAACTCATTTATTTAGATGCACAAATTATAAGTAAACAGAAAGCAATAACTAACTTATATGTAAATGTGTACATAAACACACATTTAAGTGTGTGTTTATTTGTACCAACCAAATGAGATTCTTTTCCCAAGAATGCAAAATAGTTCATATTAAGAAACCAACTGGGAGGCGGGGCAAGATGGCGGACTAGGCACAAGGATTGCACAGACCCTCTTCAACAAAGAAAAGGGAAACCAATTAACACAGACACAGAAGATAATCTTGGACCCCTGAGC